TCAAGTGCCACAGGACATTATTCCAGGTACTGATATAGATTCTGAAGACACTGAAAGAACTTGTTGAATCTCTTTAGAATGAACCCAAAGGAGCTGAACTCTCTTCTCATGAGAATTATTTGGTTTCAAGACTAGCAGAAGAAGAATTTACTCTACAGTGTTTAGTTTCACATTTAAATTTCATTTCCTATATAAATATTTTGTGGTAACATATCTAATTTCTTTCTTAATTTCTTTTTCTTTTCAGTTTCCTATTTCACCTTTTTTTAAAACTCACTTATCCTCTTGCCATTTTACTCTGTCAGTTTCCCTTGTTTATCCTGTCTATATCACCTGAATTCCAGGTATACCATACATTTCCCCCAGGGGATGGAATCATTCTTCAAAGGTGAGAGATGCATAAATGGGCCATTGTTAAATGACACTTGCTGACTTTTTTAACCCAGATGTGGGGAGCAGAATCGGATTTTGTGCTTTGGGTGCTAACTTCAAGTTCTCTTCCTTTACCACAAATTTGTAAAATTACAAATTGTAGATCAATGAAGATGTGTGAGCTAGCCAAGACTATGGAGGGTCTGGGAGGGTGTTCAGTGGATATTGCTTAAAAATCCTCCAGAGGATTCTTCATTTCAGTTGGGGTGGCCAGGTGGCTCAGTTGGTTAGAGTGCGAGCTGTGAGCAACAGGGATGCCAGTTCAATTCCCACATGGATCAGTGAGCTGCGCTCTCTGCAACTATCAATAGATTGAAGACAACGAGTTGAGCTGAGCTGCCAATGGGTGGCCAGATGGCTCAGTTAGAGCACATGCTCTTAACAAGAAGGTTGCCGGTTCAACTCCCACATGGGATGGTGGGCTGCGTCCCTTGCAACTAAGATTGAAAATGGCGACTGGACTTGGAGCTGAGCTGTGTCCCCCACAACGAAGATTGAAGGACAACAACTTGACCTGAAGCCGATGGGTCCTGGGAAAAACACACTCTTCCCCAATAAAGTTAAAACCCCCCCAACTCTCCAGAGGGAGGACACAGGGCTACAATTCCTGTTTGCTCTCTGAACCTGGATCGGTGGGGTACCTGCTGAGGTTTGGTATGCAGGACTAAACAGACTTATTTTGGGTCTGTACCCTGTTGGCCAGAATAATTGCTGCTATTGCTCTTTATTTGTTTTACTGTTTCACTTGGAAAAATGGAAATTTGTAAGGCAGTGAATCTATCTTTGCTCTTTTTCAGATGACTGATCCTATGACAGGTTTAGGGTTGTCCTGGATTCTGTCTCACCAAAGATCTCCTTTCTCCTGCTCACCATAGTTGGGCAGAGCCCAGTGATGCTGGGCCACAGAATTAAGACCAGAGGTAGAATGGCTTGGGCCCTAGAGACCTCTGCCCCCATTTCCATTTCTGTAGAAATGAGCCAGGGTTGTACTCACCACAAGGGGTCTTAAAGCCACAGATAGTTTATTTTGAGAATCCTGTCAGGTGACAAATACCACTCAGCAATAGCTTTTTTTTTTCTTTTCCCAATAGCTTTAAAAAGCATAATCTACTGTACTGCTCTGGATGGCTTTGCCTAACACTCTCCAATTCCCTGTTACAACTCTCCCCCTTTTAGAATAATTCATTTTTTTGTCATTGTTGTTGCTTTTAAACTTGATAGAAAAAGATGACCAATTCATGCCAGTTGAGTTACAGATTCTGAACAGATGGTTTAAGATAATTGATTACACTTTACATATTTACATTTAGTTTATCACATTAGTTCCTAAAGTTCTGGTAGAAAATTCAATACCAACTACAGTTATAATTAAAAGAGCACAGAACCAGCAGTCAGGGGCTCTGAGCTCCTATTGAAACTTCAGCTCTATCAGAGATAACGTCTTACTCTGTGACTTTGGGTGACTCTACAAACCTCTCTGAGCTATGATTTCCTAGTTGGTAAAAATGAAGGACTGGATTAGCTGATCTCTAAGTTTTCTTGGGTCCAAAATTTCTCTGAATTTATGGTGTCATGTAATAGCAAGAAGAAATTCTATGAAAAAATAGATGGTTGCTCTGTTGATAATGATTTTATATAGGAATGGTGGTAAGAAATTTATTTGTAGGAAGGTTATCGATAGTAACATCATAAGGGAAGGAAAAGGGAAGGTGGGAAAAGAAAAAAGACTTACCAAATTTCTGCTGTGTGCTAAACAGATTCACAGACATGATTTCATGTGAAAAATGCTGATTTCAGAGGTTTCCTCCTTAAGAGGGAGAGACACCACTGTTGCTCCTTGCTCCAAAAATGCAGCAACAGCTAACACTGGTTGAGTGCTTTCTGTGTGCCGTGTACTTTCCCCAGCACATTACACATCTTCACACAATTAATTATCCCTATCCACAGATGAGGAAACTGAGGCACAGGAACCTGGAGGATCTTTCAAAGCTGACAGTGGACAATATCCCCATCCTTCAAGTCTTTGATATACTTGAAGAAAGTGTTAAACAGTGGCTGGAATATCAAACTTGAAGTCAGATTCTGGGACACAGATAAGTTATTTTTTATATGAAAGAGAACAAAACTCGGGATAGTAGAGATTGTGCTAGAAGAGGGGAAGGCAGCAGTTGGGGAGACTGAGCACTAGAAAACCAAAATAGGACAAGTCAAGATATTTGGGAAAAGAGACGTTCTTCAGATATCTTTCATATGCTGATGCCTCCTAAAATGATTTTTCTAGCTGAGAGCTCTCTCTTGAGTTCCAGACTTGGAGCCACGTGATCAGGTAAACCAGCATCAGTAAAGCTACTTTCGCTATATCCTGTTAACTAAGCTAAGTGCTTTCCATATGTGAACTCAAGTCTCACAGGCATCTCAAATGCAAGCAAAGCAGTATTCCTCATCTACCTGCCATTTCCAGACCTCTCCACCCTCATACACTACTGTTCCGCTCTAGCATTCCTCTCGGTAATTGGCAATCCTATCCCCCAAACTCCTTGAATCATCCACCATCACTGCCTCTCTCTGGTAGCCTCCTAATGGTCTCCCAGAACCCAAGTTGGCCTCTCTGCCCACTCCTACTCCACTTACCTCCAGAGGGACAGTTAGCTAATATAGATCTGACACTGGCAGTGAGTGGCTTAAAGCCCTCCCAGGTTTCCCACTGCTCTTAGGATCAAGTCCAAATCCCTTCCTACAGCCCTTTTCATTCATGAGCTGGCCCAGCCTCCTCCTCCACCTCCACTCATCCTCACTTCATTTCCTTTGCTCTCCATGTTCCAGTTCCAGGGGCCTTCTTTCATTTTCTAGAAGTCCCTGGCACCTTTCCAACTCAGGTACTCTATCTGCTTGGACTGCTCTTCAGTGGTGACATCACAAAGTAGCTGGTTATCACCCTAACACTGAGGGAAGCAGAGGCCCTTTAGAGAACTCGAGAACGCTCTGTCCCAGAAAGCTGGCTCTTCTTAAACAAAAATAATCGGGGGTAAGAAAAAAGGGCACAGGGCATCTGATTTACAGCGGGCTGGGGCAACTGGAAAATCTGGATAACTGCACCTCTGCCACCTCACACAGCTGAACTGAGGTTGAAGAGGCCTGCTGGGGTTGTCATGAGAGGAGAAGTAAAGCCTGCAGGGAAAGGGCCAGCCTGGGCTCCGGGTGGGGAGCAGGTCCTGGGCTCAGCGTGAGCCCTTGGTCTTCATTCAGTGAGGCAGTCCTCACTTCTGCCTCGTGGATTCTTATTAGTGCCTGCCAGAGGGATGTCTAACAGCTCTGCCCTAAGCTTGCTCTTCTTTAGCCCAAATTGTCATAATTGAAGTGAATTGAATACTACAAATATATTCTTCGTTATTCATTCAGTTGAGGGCCTACTGTGTGCCAGGCAATGCCCTGGACCTGGCCTAGCTACTGGATGCTACATACTAAGTGTTGCAGACACTGAACTCTAGTCTACATTCTATATATTATGTGAGATATCACGATACTGTATCTATAGTCTGTATACTTTATAAGAAGTATTAAACAGTACACACTGTGGTCTATAGAGAATGGGTAATACACACAATATATTGTATGGGTATCATATCTACTAGCGGTGTTTTGCCATAATAGGTATTTAGTAAATATGTGTTCAATGATTGAAAACTCATTTAGCACCATGTTCTGTTCTGGCAGAGCCTGGTCATTGGGGATTTATTCTTCCAACCCTTCTCCTTTCTTCGCCTGCACTTTAAGGGTGGTTTCCTTCTTTGACCACGTGTTTTGGCTTCTTTGGGACAGGTCAATTCATTTGCCCACCCAAGTCTGAGCTGAGTGTGCACCAGGGAATGCAAGGCTGACAGGTGGAATGTCAAGGCCCTCAGGTGGGTCTGGAGGGAAGCCAGCCATGCCTCCCAGCCGCATCCAGAGAGTTAGGGTGTCACAAGGTTCCTGGTCCTCTTTTGCTTTGTTGAGAACAAAGTTCAGATCACAATGAAGTGGCAGAACTGGAAAGGGTGTTAAGGACAGAGTCTAGTTCGACTCTCTCAGGAATCATAGGTCCCACTCCCCAAACCAGCTAAGACAGGCATGGGCTCCGACTGCTCCTTAATGCTTAATGGCAAAACTTGATCCTCAGTTTTCCAGGGCTGTCCCCAACTTCATTGCTATTGAAACAGAAAACACTGGGGTCCCTTCCTAAGCGCTTCAATTCTTCCCAGTTAGGATGAATGGGACAAAAGAGGAAGGAAGGAAGGAAGGAAGGAAGGAAGGGGAGAGGGGGGATGAATGGTTGAATTGGGGGTGGGGGGTGGGTGGATGCATGTGCAGCTGCCTAGGAGCGGTATCCCTGGCCCGCGGGGCCAAACCCCTCGTTGTACCCCCCGCCTTCCTCCCATTCCTGGGCCGCCGCTCCTGCCCTGCGCCCCCGGCCGGCTCCGGCGCACTGAGGGAGGGTGCGAGGGAGAGGGGACCTTGGGCGGAGGGGTGGGCGGCCGGGGCGAGGGGAGGTGGGTAAGGGGAAGGCCTTGGGGGCGGAGAAAAGGGGGAGCGCGGGGAGAGGGCGCAGCGGAGGGGGCGGCTGGCGCGGCGCGAGCCGGGCGTCTGGCTGCTGCGTGGACCGGGCTCCGAGACCCAATGCCGCCGCGGCAGCCTCGCCGGCCGGGGCTGAGCAGCCCGGGCTGAGCCGCCGCCGGAGCCGGGAGCCGAGCGGCCGCGCGGGAGGATGGGCTGCGGCGGGAGCCGGGCGGATGCCATCGAGCCCCGCTACTACGAGAGCTGGACCCGGGAGACCGAGTCCACCTGGCTCACCTACACGGATTCGGACACGCCGCCCAGCAACGCCGCCCCCGACAGCAGCCCCAAGGCGGGCGGCCTGCACGCGGGTGAGCGAGCCGGGCTCCTGCAGACAGAACCCCCTGGTGCTGAGGCCGGGTCACAGGAGGGAAGCGGGAGGGTTACGGGGGGCGAGGGGGCGCCAGGGGCAGCGCAGTCCTCTAGAGAATTTGGGGAACAGTGCGGAGGGAAGGAGGGAGACAGACAGACACGAGCTGCCTGATGCTGACAGACAGACAGACCCAGGCCCGGGGATCAGAGACCAGGAGGGACCCTTACAGAAGCTGAGCTGATAGCCGCCCCCTCCGCCTT